AATTTATTTCTCTTTACATAACCACTTCACATTACAATTCAACACATTAGAACGCTCTCGGGCAATTACAAAATGATATATCGCTCCACACGCAAACAACAAACTAGAGAAAGTCCCGTAAAGTGCCGCCAGAAGCGCGGTAGTCAAACTGGATGAAATCTGTACCGAAAAATTAAGCATGCCTCATTTTTTCCTACAAATTACATCCAGTCTGGCCTGTATCTTCTCTGTACCGGCGAAAAATGATGAAAAAATGATCGTGTAAAACAGGCTTAAGACCTCTTAATATGGTTTTGGGCCATATTTTCATTTTTCGGGCGATCCACACATTTCTTTCCCGTATTGTTGATCTCGACACTTTGCCCGGCAGCTCTGAACGGGGAGGGGGGAATGGAACCATGCATAATACCAGGCCGTAGCATGCAAAACGCAGTGAAACACATTAGAATGGTTTTGAATATCTGAATTTACCAAAAAAAATAAATCTAAACTTGAACCTATTTTTACATTAAGGGGGTGTTGACTCCAACACGGTGCGTACTAGCCGCGCTATGTTCTTGCTCGAAATGGCTGTAAGGTTCTTTAACATTTGACTAAAAACCTTTCGCAGGCCACAATAAATGTCACTGTGGGCCGCCAGTTGGACAGCCCTGCTATATAACCTAATATTCTTGGTTATCGTCCTCGTAAACTTAGGAATACCCTACATTAATTTCGTCAACTGTTAAACGCTTCTAGGAAAAGGTTCAAAGGTTTTTGCAGGCAATCTTCCAATCCCTTATCGTTCGATTTGTAAAAGAATTAGCCGACATCCGTTCTCTGCGGTCTTCAATTTATTTTGTGCCTGTGATCCCCTCTACTGATATATGTAGGAATATGTGGCTGCCGTTTAATATCTTTCCAAGCTGGATGTCCGCTATAAGCTTTACACAAAGCGGAGAGTCTTGCAAATGGTCGCCCGTTTTTGAGTGAATCCCACCCTTCCATTTTCTTGTCCCTGAAAGTAAATTTAGCTGTCCTACCCTGAATCCTTTCCGAATGTTTACACTGCATAATTTTGTGCGGATCACAACAAATTGCTCCATTTTCCATTTTGGACGGACAAGCAATAAATAAGCAATTTCCTTCGCGTTTACAGCACTCTCGTTTTAAAGATGCGCATTAAAAAGGCTTTCCCTGCAACAAAAACTACGTGACTTTTCCAGCGTAAATTACTATCGAAATGGATTCCTAGGTACTTGCATAAGAAAACTCTCGGAATAATGTCGTTACATAAACTGTAATTTGTTTCGCTGTAATTATCACTTCTGCCAAAAGTGATGGATTTAGAGTTATTTATGGTCATTCCATTATTTTCCGCCCAGTAATATAACACATTAAGATCCCGTTGCAGCATTTCTTCATCTTTCGAACTCCTAATGCGATTTCGTATGCAATCGTCTGAATAGCCGAACATTTGACATTAATTGTGCTGGCAAATTATTGACGAACTCTAGAAATAGAGGAGGTCCAGTGACACTTCCTTGCGGTAATCGTGACGTAACGCTTGCCTAGGAAGATACCTCTTGCCCGATTCGGACTTTCTGTTTTCTGTCTCGCAGAAACTCGCTAATCTACGCCAACAACCCTGGGATCGATGCCTGAATTCATTAATTTCTGGGCACAAGTCGATCGTGTGGTACGACATGGAACGGTTTGGCAAAACCTTTCACTACTGCGTCTTCTCTCACGTCCGCGACAATTTCATCTGCTAGATCCTGAAATAGCGTGAAACTCCCCACTTTCGCATGAGTTACCTCTCCTGAACCCGTTTTGGGCATCATAGAGCCATTTTTTGATTTCCCATTCTTGCTTAATGTTACTCGCAACTGGAAGCTCCATAAATTTGTGGATCGCTGACGGAAGACTTACCGGCCCATAATTAATATAGTTTTGTCACCACTTTTAAAGATTGGTGCGACAAAAGCTAATTTCCAATCTTCAGGTACTTTTGAATTGTTCATGCTTACGTGAAATATTCTAATAAGGAACGGTAATATTGCCTCTCCTTCCAATTTAATTATTTACGTAGAAATGTCGCCTGGACCCCTTGACATACCAGTTTTCATAGATTTTAATTTATTCTGTAGAACGTATACTTCAATATTGAAGTGATTTGTAACCGAATACCTTTGAATTAGAGGATGGTTCGTATTACTTTTGAAAATACTTATTATGCATTAGCTTTTGCCCGTTCGTCTGTGATGAACGTGTTTCCAATTTCATGAAAATCTCAGATATCGTCTTTATTTCCCTTTGTTCTACGAACATATTTATAGAACCCTGTCGGTATTTTCCTTCCTGTCTCATGACTATTTTTGATGCATATATTAATAAGAAAATGAGAATTCTCAATTCCTTTTGGGTACTTGAGAACTGTATTTTGTTTTGACTTTAAATTACTATTAACGTTAACTATACATTATGGGCTTTGTGATTTACGTTAATACATAAATTGATAATGTATCACCATTGTCAATTGGCCTTATTAAATCCTTATTAATTCGAAACCTTACAATTGATGATTTTTGACTTAGACAATGTCTGTTGTAAAAAAAAATCAGCGCTCTAAAAATGGTCATGCACATTTTTTTTAATTGTTATCAAAATTACCTTTTTATGGAATTCGTGGTATTGCCCTAGATTGGATAACCTCGTAGCTTAAACATCGATCTCAAAGAGTAGAAATACCGTACTGGCACGAAAGGACATTAACATATCTTTCCAATTCTTTTATCAATTGAATATGGGACCCGCGAGGTTCAATCATAGGGCCTATTCTCTTTCTGTTATACGTCAACGCTATACCTTCATCTATTAAGAACGGAAGAACAGTTCTCTTTGCCAATGACACGAATGTTCTTTGCAAAAAAGAAACAATAAATAGTACGATTTCAGAAGTTTCAAATTGTTTTTGTAGTAACAAATTAATAGTTATCGAAGGAAAAACAATTTCAATGCATGTTTGCATTTAAAATCAGCAATCGCATGCTCCATTGAAAATGAACAATAGGCAATTAGCTGATGTTAAGGTAACAAACTTTCTAGGTCTCTCAATTCAGTCAAACCTCAAATGGAATGTACATATTACAGAATTAAATTTAGTTTATTATGTTACACATTCAGAATTCTTTCAAATTCTGTCAGCCTTCATGCAGCTCGTTGCGTGTATGTTTCAAATGTGCATTCCTGCCTGAGATACGGCAAAATATTCTGGGGAAGCTCATCATGTAGTATCCAGACATTTTGATTGCAACAGAAAATTATTTGAATAATGAAAAAATGCTATCTGCGTGATCCCTGCAACCCTTTCTTCATTGAGCTTGGAGAATAACAATAGTAAAATATTTTCTGCTGGATAAATGTTTCTATACAATCAGAGACTATATTGATCACCAAAAAGAAAAAAAAAATTAACAAAACAGTGCTATATAATGAATTAGTTCACATTCGTATTGTATATTTTTTTTAAAGGCTTAATATGCTTGTAACAAATAATGTACTTCAGCTTCCGGGTCAATGACCCCCATTTCGATCAATTTTTTTGCCCAGTTTCCCTGAGTCATTGAGCAAATGCTGAGATGGCCCCTTGTTTTGCTTCTGGGCGTAAATGTAGTTTCACTATGCGCACATTTTGTTGAACTCTCCTTTGCTTGTAGCGGTAGGAGTAGAGGTAAGGGTAGGTTACTATTTTGTTAGTAACTGCTCTCTCGCAGAACCTCATCAGAGATGAACAGTTTGCCTTCATATAGGGCCATTTTACTTCACTACAAGCACTTAGCATGGCTTAGCAGATTTCCGCTGAACCGCTCTCACATGATGTCAAACCTGTCATATATCTCGACATGGTGTAAGCCTTTGACAAAATGCCACACAGTTGTGGCGTCATACGGGTGTAATCGAACACAGACGAGAGTGGTTTGTAAAACAGTAGACTTATTAACAATCTAGACCGCAGTCTCAATTGAACTACTACCCTGCTCACAATAATCTAAATAAATATACCCACTACAAGGAGAGATAATTTAAGAACGGCTACCACATCGCAACATACCACCGATGTTCCCTGTATGAAGCCGCTCTACGTTGAGACCATCTACGCGTCTCGCAAGTCACGACAATGAATTGCCGGCCCCTCGCCCTAGTGCACCTACACGCACAGACACACCTGTCGCCGACGCCGCTAAAACAAGAAGACGGGCATTGTTCTTCTGGCCTTATGTAGGCCCTTTTGGCGCTGCCCGCCGCCCCCATTGCCCCCTCCCCAAAGCCGCTCTGGGCCCGCTACGTCCACGGAAAGTCCCAGTGCGTCATCACTCTTTGTTTAACATCCGGTGGTTTGAGCGTGGCACGACGCTACACAGTACTCACATCACAAAACTGCGGCGCTGCCTTCCACAAGAAGTAACCGAAATAGCTATATATTTCCTCACAAACCGCGCATTCGTGTAATGGGTAGATTGGTATTTAAACTTTTAACAGTTAGTAGGTATACTTCTACAGAAAATTTGCATCACTCGGAATATCAGCTAAATACGAAAACATGGTCCTTGAATATTGGCAACCTTAAAACTGCCATATACTGAAAAAATGGGCAAAAATAGATATCGGCAAAATGCTCATAATTTAGCCTTTATTGAGAATGTGTTCGTTGCTCTTTAGCAAACAAAATTCGATCATGGCTGACTAAATGTGACACTGCAGTCGTAATTGTGCAGAGACTCATGTGTTACTAATGAATTATTGGGATGATTGTTACAGGAATGCTGCTGAATGCTAACTGGTAGCTGAATTAAGTATTCGTGATGTTGATACCTGAAGAAAAAATGATGAGGGAATTCAAAGAAGAGTGAAGCTGGAACTAGTGTTGTATACAAACCCCCAGCTGGCGTGCGTTGCAACCGGTCTCAAGTTTGCTGAGGACAACATTTATGGAAAATGGTGCTTTTAGTAAGTTTCAGGATATAAATTAAAGGAAGGTTCACCTGAGAAGGTATATATTGTTGTTTAGACTCTACTGTATTCACTAATCGATTTTTCATTTTTTGAACACTTCTAGATGGTATCGATCGCACTTTTGATTACACAGCTCGCAGGTACTTTTTCACTTGGTTCATTATTATTATTATTTTTTACACTCTTTATGGTGGGCATTATGAATTGCGTGTCGTGTCACATGCCTGTGGTCGTGATTAGTCTTTTCCCGGTTTCGATCGAGTATCGTGCCGGTGTTGTAGAAGTCTACGATTAGCATCCTGTTCTGTCTTCTTTTTATTACACTGGCCTGCGTTTTTAAAACCAAATTTATGTTTAGATTTGTAAGCTGTTTTTATAGGAATTGACAACGCTGAATTCGAAAATACTAGTTTTCCCCAATCACATCTAGTTTTTGTATCGTGAAATTATCCGTGCTTGCCTTTATGATGTGCAATGATGCGAGCAGTTACAAATAATGCGAGAAAGTACTGTTGTACCACTAGTTTTAAAGTATGAAGTATAAGCAATACATTAGGAAACAAAGAAAAAACACTTTTTATGGTGGAGTGAGGTAGGAACCAATTGTACATTTATTTTGGATCATTGTTCAAACGTTTTGATTCATTTCTCTTTTTATTGTCATAGCTAGCTAGACCATTTTTTTAATGACGAATAACTATTGCATATAAAATTGCAATATACAATTTGTGCATGTTTGCTATCACGAAAATTCATATTTAAAAATATAATTTAATTAATGATGCCATTGCTCGGTCAGATGGCCGAGGTCGTTAAGGCAGTAGTGCCGTAGCGGTGGAGTCACGCCTCAGTGTATTTGTGTAGGTCTACATGTGTGTGCCGTCCTTTCACCCCTCACTATAATCTTATTGTTCATGCCCCCCAGGCAACCTTGCTAACAACCTTGGGAATCGGGATTCAGCTAAAAAATGCTGCCCCCTCCCCCCGACGATTGATTGTTTAGTGATTCTGGGCACGTCAACTACCAGGGTCGTTTGTTCCGTAAGTGTACAGCGTATTTCTGCTCGGCAGGTGGTGATATTTCTCCTGCTGTATGGCGAGGTACGGTGCCGACCTAACGAGGTTTCGTACGCTAGCGAGGTTTTCCCCTACCAGATATGTCCCACCAGCGGGGCACCGCCACAGCCAGGACAAGCTCTGAGCTCCTGACGGGTGTCCCGGCATGTGTGGTAGTGTAGTGCATGTTAGTGTAAGTGCGTAAGGGGATAGGACAAGGGAGAGGAAGGTGAGATTGCGCGCGGTCCGTTTGTAAGGTACTGCTCCAGCATTCGCCTGGTGTTGATCTGAGAAACCACGGAAAACTACCGATCTTAGCAGCCGGCCTATAGAATTCGCCTCCAGACAGCGACTGAATTAGACCTAGCCAACAAGGTAGTGTCGAAGTTCCTGCCACCGTCGGGTCTCGAACCTAGGACCCCGGTTAGAGGGACTCAATTGATGCTCTGAGCCATCTCTCCCGGTCCCCGATAAAGTGCTTGCACCTTCTAAACCAGGACGCACGCCTGGTCCTAGTTGCCCTTTACGAGGGAAGGGGTTAAAAAAAGCATATCATGATATATCTCCTGGATTGTCGAGCCTAGTCCACAGGGCACTTGTCAACGCACGATGCGTGCGCCAAATCGTTGTGAAGTTCACTCGACTGCACCCCTTTCCCTCCCCGCAACACGCTCCCCTCTCCCCGCGGCGACTCCACTCCCAGCTTTTGAGGGCCAGGTGGGCAGGCCTGGCCCAAACAGGTCTCACGATTTTCTCCAAAATTGATATTCTCTGATCGATCTGAACTAACTCGAGGCCTTGCAAATTTTTGGATAGGATATTTTGGTCTTTGGGATTCCTGTCATAAAGCATTTAACATTTTCAAATCTTCTCAAAAAAGCTCAAAATTTTTTGATTAAAAGGTGCCTCCGAATAATTTCGTAAAAAGTTCCCCTAAACCAAATGACATATGAGTAGTAACACTCTTACTCTAACATAAAAATAATGTTTTGAAGGGTTTCTTAGCCCCCATCCCACCACCCTCACCCCTCTACAGCTTGTTTATTTTACTTTATTTTAATTTTTTCGTCAACTTAAGACTATTTTATCTGATTGAAATAATAAACATGAAAAATACGAAAATAATTTATACTATCAGAAAAATATTTTTGAAATAAAATATCAAAAAATAATTTTTACTGTGACTTAGAATCCTGGGACAGGCTTGAAAAAAATCTCAAGAGTTCCTCTCAAAACACGAATAGTTGTGAATTTTTTCTGATTTTTTTCTCGTCTGCTGTGCTGTAAAAAAAATTAAAACAATTTTTACTATTTTCTAATCTTTAAATCATCTTGACTTTAAATATACTTTGAAAATGGCTGCAACAGTTCTATGCATTTATTATAGTATTTATTATACATTTGTCTACATTGTTGTAGCACCCAGTAATATTTTGACTTAGGAAAGTAGTTACAATTCATCCTGTTTCTTTGACTTCTTTGGTTTCTTTGGCTTCTTTGGGGTAAGTGGGTAACATGTGGGGAAATAAAGGAGAACAGGTTGGACCTGCATTTAAAAGTACTATTTTACTGTGTCTTAAGAACACCAGCCTAGGCACGAAACAAAATTCAATATGTTAGAAGTTATGTGAGGAACCACTGGTTTTTTAAATGGGAAAGCTGAGTATAGCCATATGGCGGTGTAGCAGTAATGTTTTGATGTGTTGACTTAAATGATCTCTGATCGAATATTGGCACGGAAGAAAAAGAATTGCTGGTTAAAAACACTTTCGCAGGTTCATGTAGTTATTAAATATTGCAGAGCCGTTAGAAATAATGTGAGGAAGTATGTATTGTTGTAGCATCATTAGTTCAAGAATGATCAACTGTATTTCGTATAATCCTGATGAATAATAACCATATTTAAAGGAATTTATCAATAGGAACATTAGTGTGATGAAAAAACATTGAATTTGCACATCTAGAACAAGAAAAGTGTTGCTAGTGTTACAGTTACCTGTATTATCTTAAGAGTTGACGAAAATGGACCCACTTATATCAGAAGGATTCTCAAGGATCAAACATCCATGTTTGTTTCTTAATGTATTAATCTCTGTTTTTCCATTTTTAATTACGTTCCTTAATGTATTAATCTGTGTTTTGAATGTTTTATTTGAATTGTAAGTTTCAACTGGATCACTTCAGTTTGTTTTAGTTGAATTGCTTCAGTGTGTCTCAATTCAAGCCTATAAAGTTTTTTACAATCTTTGTGTAGTTCATCATAGTAGTCATTAATCATTCATTGGATTTCTCAACTCATAGGACATGTATTTTTTTATGTAATTTTTTTAAACTAAGATTTTATTACAGTTTAATTTTTTGTTTTTTATTTGTTTTTTGTTTTTTTGTTTGTTGACAATAGGACATACAAAATGTAAGTACTGAATAAATGTATTCCAGAATTAATTCCATTTTTCTTTGATATTGCTATTACATACATTGGATTCTTCTGTGATGATGAGTTTATTAATTTTTTCATCTTCTTCAATAACATGAAATATAACACTATATGAGTCACTTGATGATGCTAGTTTTATTTGAGAATTCTGTGAAAACTCTGTATTTAAATTTGTTTCTCATTTTTTCTTTTTTAAAACATATTTTATAAGTTATATTGTGTTATGCACTATGATTGAAAAATTGTATTTTATATTTTTGATCACTATACCCAAACTTGTTTAAGAGACATTTATTTAGTCACTGTATTATAGTATCGTGTGTGAATATGTTTTTAGGTTGTTTAAAATTAATGGGACAAGTGATTATTTCAATAAATTAGTGCTGTGTTGTTATATGTATGACGATCAATGTTAAATGAGGAGTAGTTGTGTGTTGTAATATTTGTAGGGAGTGAATTGCTGAGCCGAAATGGGTTACTCGTGTTGATCCTAATGCCACTTGCCGATTAATACTTTTTAGCAGATTGTTTAGTTTCTTATGATCTGCTCAATATTCATATCTCTTAGGATAACAAGATTACTGTTGTGGTTTCATAGCATCTCTTTGAATTGAAGCAGATAGTCACGTACCGTAAAATTATGGGATCTATAAATGCCTCTGATATTTAAATCTCCTATTAATATTCTTGTGATTATAATCATTCTTGCAACTTTAAAGGTCATTTCAGCACTCGTATCTTTTATTAAGTCATTTGTTCCACTACTTATATGATTCTTAACAAGTATTGCAACACCACTTTTATTGAATTCTCAATAGAAATCTGATTTAAGTTTGTAAATGGTGATGAGTTTATTTCCTTTTATTTAAGATCATCTTCAGTGATGACTCCTTCATGCATATATATTTCTAATAGTATGGATCTGTTTTATTTTGAAGATATTGGATCATCTGATGGAGTACTCGGAGGACCCCATAAACCCTGACATGGAGTTGCAATGACTCCTGCCTGGGACAACCAATAATGAATTCCTATCATGAAAAGTAAATGACAACCAATTCAAATTCACTCAGAAGCCTGCCAAAACATTGATGAAAAGGCACCCAAAAGGTATGACTTAATCAGGTTCATGGCAATTTCTCTAATTCTTCAATTTGATTTGTGTCTGTACTGAGGGATATCGATACAGTTAACTGGAACCAGTTTATGCCCATTTGTTGGTCCAAATAAGAAAAACAAAACATTCCAAAATGTGCAGTACATTGAACTAGTAATTTTTGTAGACTGACAAGAACTTACTACACAATTTACACTTAACTCATTACTACGCAATTTAATCTTGCCAAGAATATGTAAACAATATTTAACTAATAAATTTTAGATGAAATGTCTCTATAAAATGTTTACCGCTCTTTATATCTTTTAAAATATATTTTAAATCTCAAACAGTAATTTTCACATCCAAATTTTAATGTCCTGGGGATGAAAGGAATGGATATTAAAAGTATATACAGTGATTTTAAGAATTGTGAATTGTGATATTCTAAAGACTAGTTTCAGTAGGGTTTTGAGATTATAGTGAAAAATATTATATTATGTATATGTAAAAATATTATATTTTGTAACTGTTTAAACAACCTGAATAAATTATTATTATTAAAAAAAATTATCATATTTCACTATCTCAGATTTCGATCCCAAAAACTTATATATATATATATTATATATATATATATATATATAATATATTTATATATAAATATATATATATATATATATATATATATATATATATATATATATTATATATATATATATAAATATATATATATATAAATATATATTATATAAATATATTATAATATAATATATATATAATAATATATAATATATATATATATATATATATATAACGTTTTGAGGTATGACCAAGAACAGAGGGAAATAGCTGTCCTTCTTGCCGATTGACACTAAATTATTGTGTTGTTGATATATCGTGGAAAGATTATTTAAAGCAGGAAATAAAAACTTATAATCTTAAATCGCTAAATGGCTACAGAACAAATATCTTAGTACTTTATATTATACAGAAAACGTCTTTACAACTTATGGAAGTATATTTGGATATGTTTCCAAATCAGTGTAATTTAAAAAACTACATGTAGAAATTGTGACACTATTCAATGTAACTCAAAGATAAGAGAGCCCACATTGCGAAATATCCGTGGTAACTTTATTCAATTGATTTGTAATTGGAAATGTGGACATACACATATCCAAAATCATCGCAATATGACTATTTAAGGATGTCTTATTAATTCTTTTTTATACAACACTCAAATATTAAACAAAACATTTTATTTATGATACACCCATCTCTAGTCTTTGGCACAGTACAATAAATTGTATGGGAGCTTATGGAAAATTCATTAAACATCTGAGTTGATATACAAAAAAAAACAGATAATTAAAATTGATTTACACCCCAAAAAGATAGATTCTTCTTCACTCTGAACTTTAATAGGCAAACATAATATAATTAATCAGAAAATTTTCTTGGTAAAGGCTCTAATGGGATATGTGTTTCAAACTGCAAATACGTTGAGCCCGTGTACAACATGTTAAAGATATTACAATACAACCCTCCGATTGTAAAAACAAGGACATATTATTATGTTACTCTCTAGATATATTTTACGTGAGCATAGAGGTGTTTCAACTGTCACTTGCAGAGAGTCTCAAATTATTAATAACAAAAATAATTGTAAAAAATTAAAAAAAAATAAATAATGTAATTAGACCAGTGGCCTAATAAATTAAGATATAAATCTTGAAACCCCCATTGTCAGATAAGAAGCAATTGTGTTTATAATAAGTTCTTCATTTATTTTAAGTGAAAAATTAAAATATATTATGTATCTGCTTGCTTAAACATTTCCTACCTGATTTCATTAAAATACCATTATATAAAATTACAACACATTTTATACTCTTCTTTCTAACTTTACTATATTTTTATATCTTTTCTTCAAATTATCCTTATATCTTATATTATATAATATATTATATATTAATTATTATATATATATATATATATATATATTATATATAATATATAGTATATATATATATACTATATATCATATATATTATAATATATAGTATATAAATTTCTTTAAAAAAAATACATTCTACGAATTGTGAGATATAAAATACGTATATTGCGATTACAGGTTCGCACCACCCCCCAGGAATTAGCCCCCTCCCCCAGCGAGATGCCGAAATTATATATATATATTACATCCTGGCGGATGAAAGAAATGGATATTAAAACAGTATTTACAGTTTATTTAATAATTTGTGAATTTTGCATATTCTAAAGAACTAGTTCTAGTAGGTTTGAGATTATAGTGAAATTCGAGCATAGTGAAATCATGATAATTTTTTTAATAATAA